TGAAATTGACAAAACTGAATGGGATTCCTATTTTAATTGGTATTCTGAAGGTTCCAAACCCTATCAGGAACATCATATTGCCTCATACCAATATATAATTTTTCAACTGAAAAAGGTAAGAAAACAATTACAAACACAGAAAAGGGCTTCTGAAGCCTATTCTTCCCCTCCCCCACCTTCTTTGTCAACAGTCAGTAGGAAGCCATCCTGTGCTCAGGCCCCGTGTCCAAAACCATCTTCCTCTGGGCTCTCCCTTCATCTCCACTCTCATTCTATCCTTTTTTGCACCTTCCTTTTCATCTGAAGTTCCCTCTGCTACCTCCTCTCCTGAACCTATTAAAATCTGCCCCCTTAAAGTTAAAACTTCTGAAGATCTAAGTGGACACAGTTTACGTTCACTGGAATAAGGGTGAACTTTGAGTAGAGTTCCCCGAAGTGACTGAGGATCTCCATAGGTTTGCAGAAGAATTTAACATATTGATTCAAAGTTGCCAAGCTGGTTTTTCAGATTTATATCAATTGGTCCACATGCTTGCAGTGAGGGCCACGCCAAACATTTGATGAAATTAGCCCAATGGAAATATCATGAACAGGATCTAAAGAAAAAGATATGTAACTTTTGGCAAAATGCTAGAAAACTTGCTAGAAGACATCAACAATCAATTATAATGGCTTTTCTGAATCCAGTAGATCAGAACAAAATTCAGGTCTGTACACAGGAGGCAGATAAGTCCCTTCATAAGGATTAGCATCAACTCCAATTGTCTTTAAAGGTGGATTCTGTCAGGGTGCCTGGGTGGCTCAGGTGGCTGAGTGTCTGATTCTTGATTTCCCTCAGGTCATAATCTCAGGGTTGTGAGATTGAGCCCCGATTCAGTCTCCAGGCTCAGCACAGAGTCTGCTTGAGATTCTCTCTCTCCTCCCTCTGCCCATCCCACTGCTCCTGCTCTAAATAAATAAATAAATATCTTTAAAGGTGTATTCTGTCAAGAACCTGAATGGTCCCGGAAGCAGATAATCCCCTAGAGGCTGCAGAGAAAATCTCATGCCTCATGAAACCTTGATTTTGACTTTATAGGACCCTAAGCAGAAAACCTGGAAAACCCACTGAAATTCAAATATATAATCAGCAGAGTGTTCTTTTTTAGCTCCTAAATGTGTGGAGATTTGTCACAGTAGAGATAGAAAACATCTACACATAGACATAACATCAACTATTTTGTACGTTTATATTGTATAATTCTTATTTTACATTTAAATAAAGTAAAAATCCTCATTTAGTGCCCCAAGGCAGTAACACTTTGATCTTGTCATAACAGCTCATCAGTATGAGGTGTATCCTCTTTCTTGTGCAATTACAGAGTGTGTGTGAAGTTCCATTTGTTTTTGGGTTTTTTTTTTAAAAGATTTTATTTATTTATCTGACAGAGTGAGACACAGCGAGAGAGGGAACACAAGCAGGGGGAGTGGGAGAGGGAGAAGCAGGCTTCCCGCGGAGCAGGGAGCCCCATGTAGGGCTTGGTCCTGGAATCAGGACCTGAGCCCAAGGCAGACGCTTAACGACTGAGCCACCCAGGTGCCCTGTGAAGTTCCATTTGACATTGTGTAACACACATACAAATTAAAATATTTTGCACTTAATGTTTGCATAAATATTGTCATATCAATATTACTGCCAATAAAATTGCTTTCCTTGGCTCCCTACTCAGCAGGGAGTCTGCTTCTCCATCTCCCACTACTTGTGCTCGGTCAAATAAATAAATAAATAAAATCTTTAAAAAAAATTGCTTTCCTTAATCAATGCCATAGGAAGGTGGTGTCGTCTACTGCATTTCTAAAACATATCCCGCTGTAATTGTAAATGTAACACACTTGTTGAAACACTTCCTTCAGTGTTGACACGCAAATATATCTGTCTCCTGCTATCACACACATGAAATGTGGATCTTTGATTTGTACACATGTAACTTACTGGGTGGTTTTGGGAATTGAAATTGTTGCACCATCATGACTGTGCGTTCTTACAATGAGTGGACAACTGCTGAACTACCCTTGCAAATCGATTAAAACACACACACACACACACACACACAAACACATAATATCCCACCAACTGTGTTTCCACTATTAAAAAAATTAAACAGGGAAGCCATGGACTCAGGGGGCTTTAATGTCTCGGTAGCCTCTGAAAGTAACCACAACTTAATTCACAGTCACTGCACTGGAAAGGAAGGAAATGAACTTAAGAACAAACAATTACGTCAACTAGGCCTTCCAAAAATAAGGCAACTGCTTAGGGTATATCCAATCAAATACTGCCCTTCCACAAGCTCTCCATAAAAACTTCACTGCAACCTCCTACAGGTGGCGCAAGACTAACCATTTGAAAACACAAACCTACTGGTCAAATTTACTCTGGAAAATTTGAACGTAAATCGCTTCATCGCTAAAGATCACACGGTACCACCTTTCCTTTGGACCAGTTTCTCAAGTGGCCTAAACTCCTCACCCACATTGCAAGTGCGCAGAAGACAGTGCGACAGATGTGCCCGCCCCGCTCCGCTCACTTTTGCACATGCGCACAACACACCAATGCGATTCTGCCCTCACTTCCCCAGACTTCACCCTTGGTAATGGCTCCCCATAGCGCCTGCGCAGATAGAGTTGCCCAACAAGTGCTGCGCATGCGCAGAGAGGACTTGTGGTACGCCCAGCTCCTCTCTGGGCCCCAACCTGCAGTCCTGTGCTCTTCCCTTCACCAGCGGGGGGGGGGGGGGGGGTCTCCAGAGCACCACACCTGAATTTCATCTCAACCAAGCCCACACACCTGAGTTCACAGTTCAGGCAAGCTGGGACCAGAGTCTATGTTCAGCCCAGTCCTCCCTCTGACCAACACTGTTATTGCACCCAGAGTTTACCTGCCCTCTCCCGTTTCTGCCTTTCCTGTTGCCAAAACTTCACACATGTGCACACTAAAAACAGAGGTGAACCCCTCAAGGTCCTGAGTATGTCATCTGCCACAGTGCAGAGGATCCCAGAACAGATGGAGATCAGGGACTGGACATCCATGATCACCCTGTGCAGTATGAATGCATATGGCGCCGGTCAATCCCACCTCCAGTGGAACCACTGAAGCCCCCGGATTCCTGTTTCTTATTCTGGACCTAGCATTGTGTGCACAGAGCTCAGGTGCCCAGAAATTACATCGGGAATAGTCCCTCTGCCTAAATGGGGATTACGGAGACTTACAGGGAATTGTCTGTTCAGATTCTGTGGAAAATAACCTTAGACCACGAAATTGCCCTCCACGACTCCAATGTCAGTCCCTGTGCCTCCCTTCTCAGAACAACTCAGAGAACAGAGTTTCTGGCAACTCCACCCGGGTGGCCCAAACTAGCATTCACACTTTCCTGAGGTGCAGACTCAGATAAAGCAAGCAAGAGACTTAAAATTTGGGGAGGCAGTTTCACCTTTCTGGTTAAAACACCGCTTCCAAGATAACGCATAGCATCCCACTTTCCATTCCTGGGATGTCCACTGATAGTCCACACGTTAAAATTAATCAAATACATAAATGCAAATGATGGACCCCTCAAATTTATCTCAGAGCCTCTAATCCACCCTTCCTATCTCCCAGTCTGCTCTCTGTATTTGTGCTATAACACCCAAGATTATTTTTAAGATTAATGATAATGAAAAAGAGAAAGAACCTCTACAATCCCAGGGAGGCACACCCAGCATCCAAATCCTTCTCGAAAAAATGATCATATAGTACCCAATTCCCAGGGCTCTAGAACGATTAACATGCAGAATGCATGTAAGATTCCCAGCACAGTATCCTGGACACGGTGCATCCTCATATACCTGGAGTATGTAGTAGATGCTCAATAAACATTCCTTTCATGAATGAGCACATACTATTTATCCAAAACAACTTTGCTCAGACAACACAACCTTATCTAGTCCCTTCCTAACTTGTATGGGATGAGCAGAGAATGTCATCTTTCTTGTTAGTAGTCATCACTGAGAAGGGCAGTATTTGTGTTGAGAAAGGATAGTTTGGTATAAGGGACTCAGATGTGCTCTTCTGCTCTAACATAATGCTACTGGAAATGAAGTCTGGGGACAGCAACCTCATGAGTGTTAAAAATACACACTAATGGGCTTCATCCACACCTAGGGAGTCATGATACCAGAGTATGGGGCCCCTGATTCTGTTTTTAATGGGAACTTCAAACGGTTTGTATATTCGTGAAATTTTGACAAACAATGTTTGAAAAGTAGTTCTCAGCTATGGCTTCATGTTGGGATCTCCTGTGTAGTTTTTAGAACTACCATGTCCAGCATCCCAACCACAAAGATTCTGTCACTTAGTCCTTGATAGGGCCTAGCATCAGTTAGGTCTTAATGAAGGGGCCCAGCATATTCCACTGTGAGGCCAATGTAAACACTGAAGCTCCCAGGTACATTTCTAAAGACAGAGCACAGAGTCTGGTCAATGGGGAAACCTCCATAGGGAAGGCTACTCTGCATAAGATTTGATAGGGGAGGGTCAGTCCTCGCAATACCCCCGCATTCATGATGTTGTATGAGAATTTGTGCGTGTCTCCAGGAGACAAGTGCACCCAGGATTGGGAAAGGAGTAAATCACATTGGGGCCTCCACTTAGAAACTCCCTGTGTGTGCAGATTTTCCCATACCCCCGAAAGCAATGGAATAGTAATTGGGTCACATAGACCCTTAGTGGCCATGGGGAGGCTTTTGGATCTCACTGTGAATGCCATGGAAGACACTAGAACAGAAGGGAAGTCCTTAAAGGATGTAGGAGCATGTGAAGAGTGGGACAGGAGATGTCCCTCTGTGACCACCAGAGAATTAAACGTTGACTTCCAGAATCATTCCATTCAAGCAGAGCATCCCAAACCACATTTTAAGGTCAAGTTTTCTCCTCTGACCTTTGGCCCCGACCTGTGTCATCTGCTTCATTCATTCCCACCTACCTGGGTGTGTGGCTACTGTCTCCTTTCTCTTCATGTGCTGGGTTCTTTACTTTTCCAAAGAAGTTGACCAGATCCAGACTACAGACAGCAAGACCTATTGACAAGAAAAAGAAGCATGACTCTTGCCAGAGAATCTACAATTTCAAATCCAGCACTATGTTCGGTAGAGACGAGAGCACATTACAGAAGCATATAGAAAATTATTTCTCCAAACACTGTTTCCTGATGGCCTCTTTAGAACACTTAGGAAGGATTTTCCATGTTCAGCTCCTGAATTCCACTTCCAAGTACTGCTGAATCAGAAATAAGGAATAGATACTTGATTTTAAGATGTGGGCAACAGTGTTTTATGCCAGTTAGTTTGTAGAATTATCACTAAACTAGAGTGAAGTTTACAGATAACCTCACGGAATGGTAAGGCTGAAATCAAGACAAAACATCATGAATACTTCCTTCCTTACACCAACAAATGTTATTTCAAGGAAATAATCATTTGTGCTGAATTACACTACAGAATTTTAAGAAACTTGAATATACAGAAATTACAAAGTACTTGTTTCATTCTGCTGAAAATAAAAAAAAGGCAATAAAGGAGAGCATATCTGTGACACTATGCAGATTAAATGGAAACTCATGAAACCAAAGACCATTTAGTACCTTTATTTGCAAAGGCCAATATCTCCTGTAAAGAAAGGTGAGAGCCCGCATTTTCTGGGGGAATCTAGCAGAAAGACCCCGAACCAAGTGAACAAAGTTAACATCAGTTAACAAGACAAACGTATCAGTGGCCTGATGCACGGAGGACTCTTTACTATTGTGATAAAGTTTACAAAACAAACAAATCATATTATGATTCCAATCATGAAAATATAGCAGTTTTATGAGATTTCAAGCCAGAGACAGCTCCCATATCCTGTAATCTTTCACGTATTTCAAATAGTAATTCCTTCGTTGAAGCAATCTAGACAGCAAGGCTTTCTTTTTCAGAACACTGACTTATTCTGGGCCTGATAGCCACCTGGATTGTTTGTTCATGGTCGTTCAGTTTATATAGACTCAGGCTACACCCAGACAGAATCTAAATATTACATATTTCCTCCTTCATTGAGATTCCAAAACCCAACAAATCCCCAGTGAGGATCTTGGGTATCAACACATCCCCATGTTGATCTGTCACAAAGGGAATATTTTCAATACTTGCAGGTCATGAATTCATGGTAGGAATTCTTCATGCTGCATAGAAAGCCCAGGTGGAGAGAATGGAGAGACGGCCCCAGGGATGTAAGATGGGAATATCCTAAAGGGCTGACTTTGACTATCATTAAAAGGATAAATGGTTGGGCGCCTGGGTGGCTCAGTTGGTTAAGCCACTGCCTTCGGCTCAGGTCATGATCCTGGAGTCCCGGGATCGAGTCCCGCATCGGACTCCATGCCCAGCAGGGAGTCTACTTCTCCCTCTGACCCTCCCCCTTCTCATGCTCTCTCTCTCTCTCTCTCTCATTCTCTCTCAAATAAATAAATATTAAAAAAAAAAAGACCAATCAAGGCAAAAAGATAAAAAAAAAAAGGATAAATTGCAGTCCAAAACAAATTTGCTAGGAAGGACAAGAGGTAGAGAAGTAAATGTGCAAATTCTAAACACATGGCATTTGGGTAAGAAATGGGGACACTGCCCTGAGCTAAGTCAAGACGAAACTTACCTGAGAAGCAGCCATTTCTTCCTCTCCCTCTTGCTCTTGATTGTTTTCTCGGGTGATATTATGTAAAGAAATCACACGTGTATGCCTTTAAAGGCCTCAACACGGCCTCATTACCTGCTATCATCAGCTCAGAGACAGAAGGATCTTGAACTGCACAAAAGGCCAACCTCTACTTTGTCACAGGAAAAGATTCAGAAAAAAAGAGCTCCTACGTGGACATTTGCGTGTGAGTTTCTCCTTCCCCGGTTTCAGATGTCTTCCCCTCCCACAGACAGCCACAAATCCTGCCACAGGGAACGTGGGCTGCAATGACCTGCCCCTTCCAATTCCAGACCAGTCTGTTACCTTCTCTTCAAATGAAAGCTGAAGTCAACTTTCACAAATATACCTTCGAATCCTTGGGCTTCACCCTGGTCTACCCGAGAAGCACCTGAAGCGCATAGTTAAAGCAGCACTGATGTTCTCACCCTGACCAATAGACAGACTCTGGCAGAGGGCCCAGGTGATGGTGGTTCTTAAAACTCACCCTGGGATCTTTACTGTAAACCCAGGCTGATAAGCAATGATGTGCTTTCAAGTTTTAATGTGCACAGAAATCATTCGGTGTTCCAGGTCCCACAGAATAAATGGTGATTCTGCAGGTTTGGAATGGGGTCTGAGAATTGGCATCTTTCCCAAGTACTTGTTAGTGCTGATGCTGTTCCTGGGGACCCTCGTTTAGTGGCGACACTAGAGAATGCAGGCACAGCGCACCTGAGCCCCCCACACCCACCATCTACGTCAACACAAACAACTCCTGGGGAGTTCCCAGGAAAGAGTTTATCATTTACTTTTCACTGTTGTGAGTTTACTGTGGGTTCCCAGCAAAGACTACAATCACCATCCTGAAGGACCACATCTTACATAGCACTTTAAAGTATACAGAAAGAAAAAAAAAGTTTACAGAAAGAAGACTACTGAATGCACTGATGTCTAAGCAAGTCTCTATTTGGAAAACAACGTGTATATATCGATTACTGCAATGTTGATTGAGCACTGATTTTCTGTTCACAAGGAAGTTATGGGGTGCACTGTGTGGGCAACTTCACATATATGATTTCATCCCCATAATACCCTGCGAGCTGGGCACTAGATGTCCTATAATAACCACAAAGATGTACATACTGGGACCCACCTATCTGCTTTGCCTCCTGTTTCCCTATCGATTAAAAAAAAAAGTTTGTGGCTCTCTGCTCCCCCTCAATCAGCAGACAGCCATGTCTTCTGGTAGTGCAAGCCGCATCCCCAAGACACGATGGTGACGGTTGGGGTAAACACATTTGGCCAATTGAGCACCTGGTCACCAGGGCTCTTTTAAATCTGGCAAAGCGGATATTGTAGCCATCAATAACCCATTTATTGATCTCAACTACATGGTCTACATATTCAGTATGACTCCACCCGTGGCAAATTTCACGGCATAGTCAAGGCTGAGAATGGGAAACTTATAATCAATGGAAACTCCATCTCCATCTTCCAGGAGTGAGATCCCACCAACATCAAAAGGGGTGATGCTGGTGCTGAGTATGTTGTTGAGTCCACCGGGATCTTCACCACCATGGAGATGGCTGGGGTTTACTTGAATGTTGGACCCAAGTGGGTCATCATCTCTGTCCCTTCTGCTGATGCCCCCATGTTTGTGATAAGCATGAACCATGAGAAATATGACAACTCCCTCAAGATTGTCAGCAATGCCTCCTGCACCACCAACTGCTTGGCCCCTCTGGCCAAGGTCATTCATGACAACTTTGGCATCATGGAGGGACTCATGACCACACGTCATGCCATCACTGCTACCCAGATGACCATGGACAGCCTCTCTGAGAATTTGTGGAATGATGGCTGAGGGGTTGCCCAGTACATTATCCCTGATTCTACCAGCACTGCAAGGACATCCCTGAGATGAATGGGAAGCTCATTGGCATGGCCTTCTGTGTCCCTACCCTCAGTGTGTTATTTGTGGATCTGACCTGCCACCAGGAGAAAGCTGCCAAATATGATGACATCAAGGAGGTGGTGAAGCAGGCATTGGATGGCCCTCTCAAGGGCATCCTCAGCTACACTGAAGGCCAGGTTGTCTCCTGTGACGTTCACAGGGACACCCATTCTTCTACCTTTGATTCTGGGGCTGGCATTGCTCTCAATGACCAGTTTGTGAAGCTCATTTCCTGGTATGACAACGAATTTGGCTATAGCAACTGTAGCCAAACCTTATGGTCCACGTGGCCTCCAAGGACTAAGAGCCCTCTGGACCACCAGCCTGAGCAAGATCAAGAGGAAGAGAGAGGCCCTCAGTGGCTGGGGAGTCCTTGCCCCAAGTCATCCCCCAACACACTGAGAATCTCCTGACCTCCAATTACCATCTCAGACCCCCTGAAGAAGGGGAGGGGCTGGGGGAGCCCTACCTTATCATATACCAGAATAAAGTATACTGTACCCAGCAAAAAAAAAAAAAAAAAAAAAGTTTTTATATAATAGGAACAAAATATGGATGAATGGAAAAATACAGAAAGGTAGATTAGTGGTTCACAGAGTTTTCATTCTTGTGTTCACATTATAGGATAGACAATGTTTGACTTTATAAGTAAATGCCAGTTTTCCTGTACTTTATCCACACTCATCAGCAACGTATGGTCATTTTAATTCCTCCACATTGGTGTTAACAATTTATTTTTTTCTCAAATTTAGTCATTCTAGCAAATAGAAAGTGTCATCTCCCTGTAGTTTTCCTGCATTCTAGGAGTGGTTAAAGAAAATATAACATATATGCATTATATAATATTATTTAAGATATAAAATACATATATCATAGAATATATTATGTATCATCAATAATACATAAGATATATGGATGCAACATTCAGTCTTAAAAAAAGAAGACAGACATCCTTCCATTTCAGACAAAGTAGGTGAGCCTGGAGGATCTTATTGTAAGTGGAATAAGCCGCAGAAAATGGCAAATACTGCTTTATCTCAATTATATCTGGAATCTAATAAAGTTGAACTCCTAAAAGCAGAGTAGAACTGCAATTTCAGGACATGGCTGAGGGAGAAGTGGGAGATGTTGGTCAAATAGTACAAAATTTTATTTATGCAAGACGAATAAATTCTGGGGATCTAAAGTACAGCATGGTGAATACAGATAATTCTGTGTCTATTATTATACTTGATATTTTCTAAGAGAATATATCTTCAATATTCTCAACAAAAATTAATTAAAAAATCAGAAATCAAAAATCATAACACTATGAGGTGATGGGCATGTTAATTAGCTAGATTGTTTTAATCATGTCATAATGTATACATAGATTTATGTTTTGTTACTTGAGCAACTACTCAATCTGCAGGAATGAAAAACAGGATTCTGGGTGAAAGGCTGGTAAAGCACACGATTTAATGATAGAAATGAAGGCTAAAATATTTAGTCCTTTGCTCCCATTTATCGGATTCTGGGTTTTGGGAATTGTGAGCACCAGCCCTGGAGAGATGAAAGGAACAGCCACTCAGAATCGGATCTCCAATCTGTCCTGGGAAGGGAGGAACTCCAGAGCCAGGCCAGACCTGGACACAGCCTCAGAAGGGGGTGGATCTGGTTTGGGTTTGGGAGGGAGCTGGCTGTAGGCTCTGATCTCCCTGCTTCTGGGGTATGTCTAGGCCTGTCATTCCTAAGCCTTCCCAGAGAAATTCAACACCCAGAGTTCATATTGTTTTAATCTATTTAGTCTCATTCCTATTTCAGAAAATAAAATAAAAAGCAACTTAACATAAACACTTAGCATTTTCGGGGGCAATTATATTAGAAAGCTTTTATTCTTACAAGAATGCAAAATAAATGTTACTGCTACTAAGAATTCTTTGGTCCACAGATGACCCATCAAAGGTGACACCAGAACTCACACCACAACACAGAGAGGGAACTGACTCAACTGAAGTCAAGTCCCCGGTATACCACTGCTTCCTCCCATTGACTCCACAATCCTGAATTCAAAAATGTACCCATTTGCTCTAAAAATTTCTGGATGTTATGGATCATGACTCGACTGCCACGGAAACAATCAGTTTCTATCTATTTGCATCTCTACACCTGCTCAGTGTTCTTTAACCACAGGAGGGACTCCCACCTGGACCATGAAGGCGATTTCTTCTATGGAGGGAGGAGAGGACCCTGGATGACTCACTCCACTTTCTCTGAATGGGAAACATATTCAAATTCTACACAGTCTACACAGGACATCCCTATATATTCCAAAGAGTCCCTGATACTGGAGAGTATGTCCCCAGTGAGACTGAATTGATGCCCCCATAGGGATACAGGTAGTGGAAACCTTAGGTTTCGTCGGGGTCATCAGATAGAGCACAGACCTATCCTGGTGGAGCAGCATCCTCTGATGCAGGTGTGATGTATCCTGTCCCTGGGCAGGGCTCTCTGGAGTAAGAAGCCTCTACTTCAGTTAACATGGGTTACAGGTAGCTGTAGTTGTGCTCATGTTTCTAGATTTGTTGTGGGTCTTAACCTTGCACTGTTAATGGATCTCCTTCCTGAGGCTGTACTAAGGCAGGACCTAGTGTGGCAGGTTTTAAGCCTATGCTCGTTAAAACTTACAGATTTGGCATTGATGATCAGGAGTGCCAGTTTGTTGAAGGACCACCAAACACGTTAACCATCTTTGTGGAACTGTCTTCAAAACCCCATGCCCAGGTATATATTAGTAAAATATCTTATATTGAAAGATACAAATTCAATGGGGCGCCTGGGTGGTCTGTCTTTGGCTCAGGTCCTGATCCCGGAGTCCTGGGATCGAGCCCCGCATCGGACTCCCTGATCGGCGGGGAGCCTGCTTCTCCCTCCCCTACTCCCCCTACTGTGTTTCCTCTCTCACTGTCTCTATCAAATAAATAAATAAAATCTTAAAAAAAAAACCCCACACATTCAAATGTATTTTTTTTTTCTTTTTAAGAATTGATCAATTGACCCCACATGACCTTCAGGGTGGAAATAGCTTCTGCAAGCATTTCGGCAAAGGGAGGGGGGAACGTTAGAAGTGTCTCCGTTTCTTGGCGACATTGAGGTCCAGGTATTCATCCAGAAAGCTGTTTGCAATCCCCAGGACGCCTAGGACCGTCAGCAAGGCCAGACTCCCCAGACTCAGCCGGAAACCGGTGATCCTTTTTTTAGCTGCTTCTGAATATCCCCAGAAATACTGGCGACGTATGTAGTAGACCAGACCCAGACAAGTAGCAAAAACTTGATTAAAATACCATCCAGCCATCCACAATGTAATCAGAAATATGGGGTAAAACTCCACACAGTTTTGTTGTGCACAAAATATTCTTTCAAACTCTGGTGACCCAGAGACTGCCAGAGGTGTGACTTCGTATTTTAATCTTGCCTTTCCTACATGCAAAGCAAAATAACTTTGTTGACAGGCCGACTGGACTGAGACAGCAGCCAGCAAGATTGAATGCCCAGCCATCTTTCACATGGAAGGTTCTGGTTCAGGGAACTATTTGTTGAAATCCCCACATTCAAATGTATTTCGAGTATGTCTGTTTTATTTCAGGAGCAACGGTTTCATTACTGATTGAACTGTAACCTTTATCTCCTGGGACCATTAATACAACATATCCTATGGATAATTATATAATTACAAGGGATTCATTGTACAGCTGTAATTTCTTATTACTGAAACAGATTTTTTTTTAAAGATTTTATTGATTTATTTGACAGAGAGAGACATAGCGAGAGAGGGAACACAAGCAGAGGGAGTGGGAGAGGGAGAAGCAGGCTCCCCACTGAGCAGGGATCCCGATGTGGGGCTCGATCCCAGGACCCTGGGATCATGACCTGAGCTGAAGGCAGACGCTTAATGACTGAGCCACCCAGGCGCCCCAAAAAACATTTATTTTATTTATTTTATTTTATTTTATTTTTTAAAGATTTCATTTATTTATTTGACAGAGAGACACAGTGAGAGAGGGAACACAAGCAGGAGGAGTGGGAGAGGGAGAAGCAGGCTTCCCGTGGAGCAGGGATCCCAATGTGGGACTCGATCCCAGGACCCTGGGACCATGACCTGAGCCGAAGGCAGACGCTTCACCGACTGAGCCCCCCAGGCGCCCCTGAAACAGATTTTCTATTTTATTCACAATTTTACCTACAATGTGACTGGCTTGTAATTGTACATAACACCCTGTGAGACATGAATATAGAAATGACTGACATAGACAAAAACAGACTACATTTTCTCATGAGATGAGGAAGTCTTGGAATTCCTCCAGGATACAGAGAAGGACCTGGATATACAGTGGTCATCACCCAAGAGAATAAAGGTGCCTGGCAGTTGGGAAATATACATCCATCAAGGCCAAGTTGTTCACTTGCTACCAGGTGGTCTGATGAAGAAGAGAAACATTACAATGACGGCAGAGAGGGTATAAAAAGTTACAAAGGTGGGGGCACCTGGGTGGCTCAGTCGTTAAGCGTCTGCCTTCGGCTCAGGTCATGATCTCAGGGTCCTGGGATCGAGCCCCATGTTGGGCTCCCTGCTCAGTGGGGAGTCTGCTTCTCCCTCTCCCTCTGCCTCTCCCCACAGCTCCTACTCTCTCTCTGTCTCAAATAAATAAATTAAAAAAAAAAAATCAAAAAAAAAGTTACAAAGGTGCTTTCCAGGACAGAAATGTAGTAGGTGTTAGCTCAGGGGACGATCTAGGTGTGATACTGTTCCTATGAACATGTTGGCCCCTACGCTTGTGTTTGCACAGAATGACAGCCATAATGAATCCTACACAAAAAACACCGGAGGTACATCTGAATGCTGCATAAAGTCTACACGTGTTTATCACAAAATATAGCAGAACAGGTGCCAATTATCTACAGCATTTGTGATGTATTTATTGATCTTCTTGTAACACACAAACATGGTAATGGTGATATTTAGCAGCTCCTATAGATTCCAGCAGAGGACACTGGAAGGGCTAATGGAATGCGAGACTGTTTGTTCCTTAATGCTTTGCCCACCTGGGGTTCTGGGACTGATGGTGATGGCCTGGAAGACAAGGAGCCAGAGTTGCCAAAGGACACACCTCTGGACACTATGTGGAACTAAAAATACATCCGCATCCAAAATCATGGAGAAAATGTTTCAAACCAAAAACTGCCAAGGTGTCTAGGATAACACCAAGAGAAAGGAACAATACTTGGCTACATTCAGATGACCGAGAAAAACCTCTCAAACTTGTCCTGGTTCCCATGCAGTAAAGGGAAATAATGACGACATAAGAGGTAGAACTCCTGCAGGGAGCCTGATGCGAGACACGATCCCAGGACCTTGGGATCATGACCTGAGCTGAAGGCAGACGCTTAACTGACTGAGCCACCCAGGTGCCCACCTTTATGGTTAACTAGCTGGTAAACGTGTTTCCCTGAGGTTTACAAGCCCTTCTAGCAAACTAATTGAACCCAAGGAATACATTATTGGAATCTCTAAACTATACCCAGTCATTCACAAATACGGGTAATAGCCTGAGCTCGTGAATAGTGCCTGCAAATATTACGTAAGGCGGGAGGGCAGTCCTGTGGAACTGAACCCTTAACTGTGGGACCTGAAGATACCTCGGTAAATAGTGTTCAAATTAAGTTAAATCGTAAGACATCCAGATGGTATTGGAGACTTGCTTTTTGTTCTGGGGAAAGCACCTCCACTATGTATTTGTGACCAGAAGTGTCAGAAGTGCTCTATGTACTAAGAGGGACACAGAGCAGAGAAACACATTAGGGAAGAACTGGGTTTTTCTCTTCATAGAACAGAAATAGGTTGTTTTTTTTCTTATAACTGATGAAAATAGTTTAATTAAAAAAAAGGATTAATGATCATATAATATTGGTAGAGTCAACATTTGAACCTGTACCTACAGCAACAAGAGGCCCTTCCAGAAGACCTGTTCTTGGATTATCTCCTCTGTCTGACAAGCAATGCTTCATCCAGAAATCTTCACACAGAACAGCCTCCATGGTCTAAGACTTAAGAGTGTAAGATCCAGCCCTGGACACCTACATATACCCTGAATGGGTATTTAACTGAGCACTGAAGACCAGGTACACAGGTCCAGCTTCCAGAGTTTAAACACAGAAGTCCAGCCTACACATGACCCACTTTCACATCTGGAGAACCAAGACCACAGTCTACCTAAAACAATTCATGACCATCTGTATATCTGACTGCATTCTTCATGGGCTAACAACTTCATTGAAGAGGCCAACCATAAAGATGCCCCCAGAGTGTCATGCTCAAAGCAGGTTCCCCAAACAGGCCTCATTGGCATAACCTGAGAACTTTAAGAACGGAAAATTGGGGGGACTACAGCCCAGCCCAGAAATAATGAAATGGTAACATGGGAAGAGGCCTGGAAATCTGAGATTTTACAAGTGGTCCAGGTCGTTCTGATGCAAAATAAATTTGATAGCCTCTACAGTAACTAAGTCAAAGATCATTCCTGAATAATGCAGATAGTCACTCTTAGATATTCTCTCTGTGGTGATGTTACTTATGTGACACATACACACAACCTAGACATTTACCGTATTCATAAATAAATAGTACCGTAACATAGTCTGTCTTGGCTACCTCATCTTCCACATGTCACTTCCTTCAGTGCCCTCCTCCAGCTTCCTGGGATCACCCATGAATACACTTCTCATCACACTCTTTCATCAAAATAATCCAACTTAGAATGAATTGGAATTTATTCAAATATTTCATCAAATAAGATGAACTAAGATAATAAGATATGTATACATATATCAATGTATATGTATATATATGATATGAAATAGGATAGAAATACATATAGCCAAAAACAGATGTTATAATTTATAATGGAGTCGAATATAGAATTCTATGAATCTGCATTTGATGATTTCTACTATGAGAACATAAATGACTACAGACTAAAAAGCTCCTCATTGGGGCGCCTGGGTGGCTCAGTTGGTTAAGTGACTGCCTTCGGCTCAGGTCATGATCCTGGAGTCCCGGGATCGAGTCCCGCATCAGGCTCCCTGCTCAGCAGGGAGTCTGCTTCTCCCTCTGACCCTCCACCCTCTCATGTGCTCTCTCTCTCTATCTCATTCTCTCTCAAATAAATAAATAAAATCTTTAAAAAAATAAAATAAAATAAAAAGCTCCTCATGCTCACCTCTGAAGAATCAGCACTTTATTTCCATATATGATAAAATTATTGTGAATCTCAGTAGGCACACTCTAGATTTCAGGGCCTTTTCATAACATCTGATTCTAGTGCAAGGCATGTCCTTTGTATCAGATGCCTTGAAACCATTCAGGTAACGCTGGCCATTCCCAACAAGCTCACACGTCCACCTGTGTACAGATATGTGGTTACTCAGAGTGGCCTCATGACAGCGTTCTGGTCAGTGAGATGAAGAGAGAAGCACCTGAAAGAGGTTGGCCTGCTCTGAGAGAGAAAGGAGTGGTTCTAAAACAAATTCCCTGAGTCCTAGCAGATTACCACCACCTCCTTGATGCATGGAACATGGTTTGATGCCTGAAGGTGGGGCAAGCGTCTTTGGCCATGACAACAAGTGTTACCACGATGTCTGCTGCTAGACAATAGCAGAGAGAAGAAATGGAACAAGTAGAGTATACCATAGTGTGTATGAGCCATTTTATCAGACATGAGCATCCACCTACTCATTACATACATAATACACAATATACATCTTCTTTTCTATAAGGACACATCTGCCTTTTCATGGTGTAGCTGAACACAAACAACAGCTACCCAAAAAAGCATCATTATGCTTCACTTGTACCAATGTTAAATGTGAGCACAACCTACTACTACCCAACTTCATGGTATCAGTTTTCACAACGGACAGAAACCCTCTTTCATGCTGCCCATAGGATGGTTAAAAATGCAGCATGAGCTGTGAGTGAACATAGGAACATCTATTTTTAAAAAGTACGTGGACTGTTTTGAGGCAGAAATGCTCACTCTCTCTGACTGGTGAACTGTCCCCCAACTAATCAGTGCCTTGAACAGACCTCAAAGAATAACAGTTGACATGGGGCTCAAGCAGAACCGAGTTTCCTACCAGCTGTGGATCAGCTTCACTGCAATGACATCCATCTACAGTGGACCAGACTGACGTTGGGCTTATATACCTAAGATTCTAGTGCTTTGAAAAATGACAGCACACACCTTCCTGATACTTCCAGTGTCCACAAGGCTTCTACATTTCCAACAACTACTCTGCCATGTGACATTTGAAGGGTATGGCCACAACATTTGCATCTTCCACCAACCCCTCTCCTTCCACTCCCATGGGTTTTGGCCTGAAAAGTACAGGAATCTCTATCATCCAACAGCATCTGTCCTCAATACTACATAGGAATTTATGAAATCATGAAGACAGGATCTGACTTCTCCGAAGGTAGGGAAAAGAAAATGCTACTAAGAAAATCATGAGGAGGGACGACTAGGTGGCTCAGTTGTTTAGGCGTCTGACTTCAGCTCAGGTCACCATCTCAGAGTCCCGGGATCAAGCCTGGTATGGAGCTTTGCCCTTGGTGGGGAGTCTGCATCTCCCTTTCTCTCTCCCTCTGCCCTTCCGCCAATTCGTGCTCTCCCTCCTTCTCTCTCTCAAATAAATAAAATCTTTAAAAAAAAAAAGGGAAAATACACTTACAGTAGTGTACTATAAAAAATATGTACATGTAAGTGGACATGCACAGTTCAATCCCATGGTGTTCAAGGTTCAACAATACATTATAGTTAGTCTCTTTACGTACAACTTTGTTTAATGTGGAGTAGATTAAAATTAGTGCAAGGATAACATATCATTCACCACACATTAGTATTAACATGCACACACAAAACATTGAGTTTCATTAATTAAGTAAGTTCAAACATGGTCTAAATAAGCTACTGCAAAACCACTGTATGATCCTAGGTCAAAATACAGATTACCAGCATTGAACAAGCAGTTTTGTTCATCTTTTGTGATCAGAGAGTTGTGGCCCCATGGTTTTACTAATAACATTCCAAATATGTGATCAAACTGTTTATGTTCTCAGTAAGGTTTCTGGTCAACAGTAGTCTACTAATAGTTAAATGTTGATACACATACAAACACAAACATTTTCCTTAGTTCTTTTACACCTAAATTATATCTTAAGCTCTGTGTATTTACAATTTGCATTCCATGCATACCAAAGCCATGGGAATCTTTTTTGCTCAGGACACGCAAAAAAAACCTCATGAACAAAGAATAGTATAGAATAAAACTTTATAAATGGTGATTTACAATTCTGCAGGTATGGCTTATTAAGTATATTTCTAGTGACTTTGTTACACTAGCATTTTTTTTTTTTTAAGATTTTATTTATTTGACAGAGAGAGAAACAGCGAGAGAGGGAACACAAACAGGGGGAGTGGGAGAGAGGGAAGCAGGCTTCCCGTGGAGCAGGGAGCCCGATGCGGGGCTCGATCCCAGGACCCCGAGATCATGACCTGAGCTGAAGGCAGACGCTCAACGACTGAGCCACCCAGGCACCCCGAGCGCCTTTTTTTTTTTTTTAAAGATTTTATTTATTTATTTGACAGAGAGAGAGACACACAGCGAGAGAGGGAATACAAGCAGGGGGAGTGGGAGAGGGAGAAGCAGGCTTCCCGCGGAGCAGGGAGCCTGATGCGGGACTCGATCCCAGGGCCCTGGGATCATGACCTGAGTCGAAGGCAGACGCTCAATGACTGAGCCACCCGGGCGCCCGTTACACTAGCATTTGTAGAGTCCCTGGGCTTTTGTGGTGAGTCAAGTTTCAATAAAAGGACACCAAGGAAAATGAAATAGCCAAGTTCATTACTCATAGATCCTAGAGGATGTACACAATATGCCTTGACAAGTACATGATGGAGTCAAGGAGTGCAGGCAGATAAAGAGGCAGGAACTGGGGCAGATACATTTATTAGGGTCCATGGTTGGCACACCTTGCACTTCATGGGCAAGTCTAGAAGGCACAATTCAAACCAAAATATGTGGAGTATGATAACCTCTGTAGGGGTCTTCTCTACAGAATGCACAAGGGAAATATACTGGGAATGGAGATTGTTGTTTACAAGGACTGCTGGGGTTGTCATATCAGGAACTTACACTAGCTTGTAACTGTGAGGACTGTTACCGAATATACTCGCTATCAGGAGGAGCAAGTCAGTTCAAACCTCCTGCAAACAGCCTAGTTATATCAAACGGGGTCCAAGGCAGCAATACCAAAAAGTGAGATAGCTACATTATTATACTTTTTAATGATTCACTTTATTATTTATTTGACAGAGAGCACAAGCAAGAGGGATAGAGGGAGAGGGAGAGAAAATCTCAAGCAGACTGGGCACTGAGTGTAGAGTCTGACACAGGGCTCGATCTCATGAACCTGAGCTGAAATCAAGAGCTGGAGGCCTAACTGACTGCCATCTAGGCACCCCTCTCGATAATACTTCTATATCATCTGCATTATAGCAGTCATAAGGTCCCAGTAGTTACAAAAGGAAGGAAAATATACAATATATAAATTTGGAAAAGATAATCTCAAATCATTTGAGGCTTAATTCTACTGGGAAGACGTAATACCTCTTAGGCGATCCCATTGCATTCATAAGTACAGTTGATTCTGGTACAATGCAGGGGTTGGGATTCTCCTACATATGTATACTCTGATGTCAAAGAAGTTTTAAGCAATGCTTAAAGGTTTCACCAAATTGTTTACATTTGTAAGATTTCTTCCCAGTATGTATTCTCTGATGTTTAGAAAGTTTTGTGTGCCAGTAAAAGGCTTTGTCACATTCATTTCATTTTTGAGGTTTCTCCCCAGTATCTGATTCTCTGATGTCCAGGAAGTCTTGAATGCTGGGTAAAGGCTTTGCCATATTCCTTACACATGTAAGGTTTCTTCTCAGTATGAAGTCTATGCTGTTGAGTTTTGAACTGCTTTAAAGCTCTGACACATTTACTACATTAGTAAATCATCTCTTCAGGAAGGATATGACGACATATAAAAAGGTTAAAGCTTGATAGAAGACTTTCCAACATGCATTTGTTTTATATACTGGTATCTGGAAACGGAGTTCTTTAAAGTTTATTAGGATTTACCCTTGTTAATGTTTATTTCCGTATTTATCACATTCATAAATTTTTTCTCCATTATAAACACCTTGGTAATTATTGAAGATCAAGTCCTCACAAAAGGCCAGCCAAAGTTCATCACACACAAAATGCTGCTCCACATTATGTATTATGTGGTATCTATTGAACAGTGACGGTTGGATAAAGACACTCCAAATGTATCAAAATTAGGGACTCTGGAATAGGACAGACTATTTGTTGGTAGAAGAATCAGAACCCTCCGGAAGGGAATTCTGAAATCGATTATTAGACTTTTAGTCTTCAAATTTCTAATTTATAGAAACCTTTGAATAATTAATACCTCCTATATTTGAAATGGTTCAAATCATTACTTGCAGCATGGAATAGGTAATTTTCCAGAATGTCTGCTTTTGTTTTCAGAGAAAACGTATGTATAAAAAAAGGAGCTGAGGCTTTGTATTCAGAGTTCTGCAAACATAATGGTCTTAAAGCGGGATTTTCCCCAAAATGTTTTCTACTCTCTATTTCTTCTGGCAGGAAGGATTCGATTAAGGGTAATGGTCCTGGTTTAGTTATATCCATTATAACACTGTTTCTGCCCTCCTTCTCAGTCTTTCATTAACTGTGATCTCAAAGATGCAGCTTCCACTGTCTTCCCAGTAGCAGGTTATGGAATACATTTTCGTTGACTGTTTTTTGTAAAAATCCCAGGTGTCATGAGAAGACCTAATTGAAAAATACCAAATAAATTATCCCACATAGTATGCTTGCAAGTATATACTTTAAAATGCTAATGTATAAAATTAATATTCATCAGATGACATGAGTAAGATGGAGAAATAGGAAGGAGGAGGACTTTGCTCCTTCATGAAGACACAAACTAACCAAATTGCCTTTTTGAGTGCTCCAGAAGCAGCTGGGAGAACACAGCACCCTCAGGCAAACACAAATGAAGAAAAGCCTGTTTGAAGAGAGAAGGAAAGTTTGTTCCATTGCCCCAGTAAGCTGTTCACCCGACCTGGCACTCCATGACAAGACTGCGAGAAAACTCTCAACTCTGCTCAGGAAAGACACGCGTGAACTCTGTGGGCAATAATCTGGCTTCTTTACAGCTGCCTGGAGGACTTGTTTCTTTCATGCATGACATGGAAGGCTGAGGGAATGGGAACAATGGGAACACCCACTTGATGCATTGCGGTGACTACTCACAGAACAGGTAAGACCTGCTCAAAAGCCAGAGACTGCAGTGCTGAAGATCATGTGTAATTAACAGGAAACAACAACAATGATCTAACTGTGAAAGTACAAACACTCAGACATTACACATCCCCAGAGTATGTTTGATAGGCCCCACAATTACCGCACAGATGGCTGTTATCTGTGTTCTCCATTACAAAGCAAGTACATAAATTCTGGGTCCAGGGCTGGTTTTTAAATTTCCAAACATCACCAAAAGATCACAAGGCATACAGAGGAGCAGAAAAATGTGTTACAATTAAAGGAACAAGACAAACCTCCAAAAACTGGCCCTAAACTAATAAAGAACTATAAATTACCTGACAAAGGATTCAAACTATCTATCATAAAAGTGCTCATGAAGGAAGAGTAGAAACCAGGTAACTAAATGAAATCCAGTAAAGTATGCATGACCAAAATGAAAATCCAGAGACAGGCAGTTTAAAAAACGACCTAACAGAAATTAGGAGCTAAAAAGTACAAACTAAATTTTAAAGTACACTAAAGGGTCAGCACCTGACTTGATGAAGTAGAAGAAAGACTTAGACAACATAAAGATCCCTCATTTTAAATTATCCACTGAGGAGAATAAAAAACTTGTGGAAAAGGACAGGGTCCAAGGGACTTATGGGACACCAACAAGTAGACCAATATACACATTAAGGGGGACTCCCCCCAAGGAGAGCAGAGTGGAAAGGGGCAGATAGCTTACATGAAGAACAACTGGCTTATACTTGCACAATTGTGGGAAAACAGAGACATGTTCAAGAAGCTCAGTGAATTCTAAGTAGGATAGATGTCAAGACATGAGGACACAGACACATTATAATTAATTTATCAGAAATCACAAGTGAACAGAGAGCTTTGAAACACCATGACAAAACTAATTTCTCCTGTGTAACAGAGCTCTTCTAAGAACATTAATGGTTTCTCAGCAGAACTTACAAAAAGAAATGCAAGGGATAAAATCTTCAAGTACCGAAAGACCAAAAAAAATATCAACCAAAAACACTATGTGGCATAAATGTCCTTCAAAAATGGACAAATGAAGGCATACCCACGTCAAATCCCCTAGAAGTGTACCATTAGACCTGTCCTACAAGAAACACTAAAGAAAGTCTTTCTGGTTAAAGCACAAAGATTCTAGACAGTAATTAAAACCACATGAAAATATAAAGCTCTCTGGTAAATGTAAATGTTTACACAAATATAGAAACCTAGAATATTGTAATGAGGTAGCACAGACTGCTATTTTCTTACTGAACTGAATTATTTTAAAGAATAAAAACACAGGGGCACGTAGTTGATTTTGGCTCAGGTCAAGATCTCAGGTTGTGAGATCAAGCCCTGCATTGGGCTCTAAGTCTCTCCCTCTCCATCTGCCCCTCCCCCCACTCACATGCATGCTCTCTCTCTTCCTTAAAAAAAAATAAATAAAAGAATAAAAATGAGGGGCGCCTGGGTGGCTCAGTCGGTTAAGCGACTGCCTTCGGCTCAGGTCATGATCCTGGAGTCCCGGGATCGAGTCCCGCATCGGGCTCCCTGCTCGGCAGGGAGTCTGCTTCTCCCTCTGACCCTCCTCCCTCTCAAGCTGTCTCTCATTCTCTCTCTCAAATAAATAAATAAAATCTTTAAAAAAAAAAAAGAATAAAAATGATATATCTAAATTACAGAGTATACAACAGAAAAGACACAATTATTAAATATAGGGTTACGAGCGACCTACAGTGGGTACAGGGATGGACAGGATAAGCAGTAGTTTTGCATGCTCTTGACGATATTAGGTTAAAATGGTTTGTTACAGCTTTGAGAGGTTTTAAGTAATCCCTATGGTAACCGGGGTGGGAAAAAAAACCAACAACAGAAGATATAACAAGGAAAGGAGATCGTATCAAAGCATGTCACTACAAACATCAAACAAATATAATGAGGCACACTGGGAGGGAAAGGAGGATAAAACAGCCACGAGAAATACAGAAAACTACGAAAAGACAGCAGAAGTACTTCCCCTTCCTAATTACTTTGATGGTAAGTAGATTAAACGCCCCCCATTAAAAGGCATAAATTGGCTGAATGAGTAAAACACAAGATGCAACACCCTCCTGTCTACAAGAGAGTCACATTAAGTCTAAGGACACACCTAAGATGCAAGTAAAAGTACGTAAAAGCACATTTCATGAAAACGGAAACCAAAAGAGGGCACAGGAGGCCATACTAATACCATACAAATACATGTAAATTCATAGAGTTTCAGAAGAGAAAAACATACATACGTAAGGAAACGAAACTACCCAGATACTGCTAACAATTATGTGTGCACCTGACAACAGAGATCCCAGACATGTGAAGCACAAAAGGCAGAACTGAAGGAATAAATCAACAGCATCATTATAGGAGCAGAGGTTAATACCTTGATTTAACTGGACAGAAAGCCCACATTCAAGTCCAGGAAGGGGAGCACTTGATTACGTATGACGGACGTATACAGACCACTCCACCAAGCAAGAGTCGGATACACAAATCTTCTCAGTCACACACAGAATGTTCTTTAGCACAGACTGTCTACAAAACACGTCTTAACAAATTTAAAGATTAGTATCGTAAGTATCATTTCTGATCACCATGGAATAAAACAAAGAATGAAGAGCAGATGGGAAATTGGAAATGCCACAAATATTTGGACATTAAACAACATGCTCTTGAACAATCAATGGGTCAAAATGAAATTATAAAGAAAATAACCAGTAAATACCTTGAGAGTAATGAAATGAAACAATATATTCAAACATATTGAAATCAGAAAAAGTCATTCTTTTTTTTTTTAAGATTTTATTTATTTCAGAGAGAAAGAGAGGAGAGAGGGAGGGCATGAGCGGGAGGAAGGGGCAGAGGAAGAGGAAGAAGCAAACTCCCTGCTGAGCATATAGCTGGATGTAGGGTTGCTCAATCTAAGGACCCTGAGATCATGACCCGAGCCTAAGTCAGACACTTAACTGACTGAGCCACCCAGGCACCCCCAGAGAAAGTAATTCTAAGGAAACAGTCAGTGGAGTGAAAAGGCAACTTGAAAAATGCAAGGAATTTTTTTTGCAGAGCGTCTAGAGCAGAAGGATTTAACATTTAGAACAGAGAAAGAACTATTGCAATGACAACCAAACAGCAACTAGCATGATTAGTAACTGTACAAAATTTTCAATGGGCACAATCCAAGAAATATATACAAATGGACAAGGCACAGGAAAGATGCTCAACCTAACTATTCATTAGAAAAATATAAATCAAACAGTGAGTCATCACCCCTCACCTGTCCAGATCCCACTATTAAGCACGAACAACAACAAAAAAAAAAGTACACGTGCTGGAAAGGATGAGGAGAGATTGGACCCCTTATACACTGCTAGAGGAAATGCATATGAAGCAATCACTATGGAAAACGGAATGGGGGTTCCTCAAAGAGTTGTAAATCATATTACCATATGATCCAGCCATCCCACTTGACAGTATATAACCAAAGCAATTCAAAGTGGAATCCACAAGAGATGTTTGCACAGGGATATTCACAGCAGCATTATTCAGAAAAGCCAATAATAAATGAAAGCAACAGAAATACTTATGAATGCATAAGAAAATGTAGCATATACATTCACTAGAATAATAATCAGCCTTGAAAAGAGACACATACTGTCACTTTATACAACATGGTTAAAACGTGATAAGTGAAATAAATGAGTCACAGAAACAGATACACTATGATTTCATTTAAGTGACTAAACCTAATGTGAACCTCATGAAAAGGAAGGAAGGAAAGAGAGAAGGAAAGAAAGAGAGGGTGCCAGGATCTCAGACGCAACTGTGGAAGTGGGTACTTAACAGTTACTAAGTTTTAGTTTTATAGGATGAGGTAATTCTAGAAATTGGTATTCCAATAATGTCAACACACTTAACACTTTAGTTAAAAATGGTTAAAATGGTAAATTTCGTGGCATATATTTTTGACCACAATGAAGAATAATGACACCTAAAACTGAAGAGATACAAATTTTAAAAAAATTACCTTTAGTTCAAAAAGGTGTTTCTTTCAAAAGAGAATATGAATTCATCCACAAATAGATGATGACATTAATTCCATATAACAACTTACCCAGGATAAACACACAATATAAAACCACCAGTGACAACCAACCAAGAAAAGAAACAAACAAGGTAAGTCATGAACCAACAATGTACAGGTAATATTTGTACAAACAAATACACACATATTTTTATTGGCATTTGACATATGGCTGATTCCTATTTCAATTAAACCCTACATTGTCTTTGAATTCCTAAGTTGAAAATTGTTATCCAAAACTATAAAACAGATAAAAAAACAAAAGCACAATTCACTAATGCTGTAGAAACTATCAATACAAATGAAGTTTTACTGAATGCAAAACAATAGGAGAAATGTTACCTGTAATACTTCTGAATAAAACAGATACGCTATTATACAAGGATCCTTCCATATAACGATAGTTTTAAATCGAGACCGGGCACTCAAGAAAAGCAAGCATTTTCTGCTTTGTTTAGTTTCTGCTAATGTTTGACACATTAGCATGTGTTATGTGGCATAAATTGTGCACAGAAAATTCATCACAGTCGATCATAAAATGTTCTAATAAAAATTTTATGGATGAGCTTCATTAAATGACACTAGAGAATTTGTTAAGAGATATTGCCACTTCTACAAAGAATGCCAAGGCTGTACTTCATCCTTGAGAAGCGACATCACGAACAAACATACAGAGAAAGACCATGATGGCTGTACAATATGCTGAGTATCACTGCTATATAAAATAAGCATTTTGGGCGCCTGGGTGGCTCAGTTGGTTAAGCGACTGCCTTCGGCTCAGGTCATGATCCTGGAGTCCCAGGATCGAGTCCTGCATCTGGCTCCCTGTTCAGCGGGGAGCCTGCTTCTCCCTCTGACCCTCCCCGCTCTCATGTGCTCTCTCTCTCTCTCAAATAAATAAAATCTTTAAAAATAAATAAATAAAATAAGCATTTAGGTATAAATTATACCACAGTTCAAATGTATTTTAAGATAATCATTTCAAGTAGCACTTCCCAAATCACACATTCAGGTGTGTTCTCCGCTTTGACCATTACACCTCACCTGCATCATCTGCTTTACTCATTCCCACCTACCTGGATGTAAGGCTCCTTTCTCTTCACATCCCAGGGCTCTCTCTTGGCTCCAGAAAGGTGAACAGGTGTCACTTAGATATAAGACTCATTTGTTTTAAAAAGAGAAATAGGAGTTCTTTTGGATTCTTTAATTTTCAACCCAGTATTGTCCTCAATACAGAAGAGAGAACATTGTAGAATTCTAGAAAATGGTTTCCCCAAATACTGTTATTTGATGAGTTTGAATGGAATGTTTTTATGGAACTTATACGTGCTACTAGAACACAAAGAATGGCAACAACAATCCTTTTTAAACATTTACTAGAGGGACGCCTGGGTGGCTCAGTCGGTTAAGCATCTGCCTTCGGCTCAGGTCATGATCCCAGGGTCCTGGGATCGAGCCCCGCATCGGGCTCCCTGCTCCGCGGGGAGCCTGCTTCTCCCTCTGCCTCTGTCTCTCTGTGTCTCATGAATAAATAAAATCTTAAAAAAAAAAAAAATTTACTAGAAACCAGGTAGTATTGTAAGTTAATGCAAGGAAACAAACCAAAACAACAAAATAATTTATGAGACCAAACATATTTTTTTTTCTCTTATGAGAGTATTTTGCCAAACGTCCAGTAAATGGAAGAAATGAGGTTTTAACCAAGGTTATATGAGTTTATATAACATGACACACAAGTCTACATACAGAGACACACATAGCAATGTTCTGTAGGGACCAAGGGTAGGCTGCCCTCCAAGATGAACATTCTTTTGGGCTAAAGGTAATTGACGCCCTGGCTTAAGAGAAACTTTTTACCGTCCCTTAACTTTGTAGAAGGATCTAACCTGGGGGTCTTCACAGAATATGGGTTATTAGTAGTGACAAATTTTATCTGAGTGACCCACCTGTGACGTGGAAAACATCTAAGTATCAAACATCTACTCTTCTTAATGCCTTGTGAAGTACGTTTTTCCACTTGAAAATCCCTGGTCCCCCTTCTTAGTTCAGGAAGACATAAATACCTCATTTTGCCTGACTGCCTTTGGGATTGCCATGCCTGTGAGGGTTCCTTACACTTATAAAATTTAAGCTGATCTTTCTTGTTAATCTGTCTCATTTCAATTGGATTCTTAGTCCAGGTAGAAGGACCTTGAAGGGAACAGAAATTCATGCTCCCTGGCAGGATCAACACAAAATTGATCTAATGAAGCCAGCATTGATCTTGTCAGTTCAGATGTAAGAAAGCAAACTACAGGTCATATATTCCCAGGCACAGCTGTTCCAGACAAGGGACATGTAGCCTAGGCTCAAGACATAGGCATGTGACCCCACTAGCTTACAAGTAGTTAATCAGCACTAGCCTACAGATATAATTACAGGATACACCTCATAAAACCTCTCAGATAAAGAAGAACGATATTTTTCTGATTCAAAGTGTTTTGAGAAGGAATACACCTCTAGGGTATAAGGTGAAGTGACACCAGAAGTTATTAAGGACATCTGCTAACATGACCTCATGGGTCTATAAATTTTTTCTGTTTTTTCCAGTTTCACCTTAAGCCACAAAATTACACCACTTCTATTATTTGTGAAGCGTTTACGACAACAGAATTGTTCACAATCACCTTATTCAAACAATAAGGTAAATGAAAGGCTGAATTCTATGTAACATAGCAATTTCATATCTGCTTAAATCCAATCAATTTGATTTTCACATCAATAGAATATTAAACAAAGCACATACAGTGAAAACAGGCTACAATAAATGATAAGACATTTTGCTCAGTCACTAAAGAAAGCCCTTCACATTTCCAATTTCACACCATCAAATTAATCATTCTTGCTGATTTAAAAACACAAATCAGGGGCGCCTGGGGGACTCCAGTGGGTAAGCGTCTGCCTTCGGCTCAGGTCATGATCCCAGCACACTGGGATCCAGCCCTGGGTGGGCTCCCAACTCAGTGGGGAGCCTGCTTCTCCCCGCCCCCCCTTATTCTCTCTTGCTCACTCTGCTCTAAGAAATAAATAATCTTTAAAAAAATAAAAATAAAAACACAAATCAAATATGGATCCTAGGGCTTACTTTCAGAGGTACCAGCACAGATAACTTCCTATAGTGATCCAATTTGGAAGTCAGTAGGGACCAGAAGCCTACTCCCCGAGAGCAGGGAGCCTGACGCAGGCCCAATCACAGGACCCCAGGACCATGACCTGAACGAAAGGCAGATGTTTAACCAACTGAGCCACCCAGGCGTCCCAGAAGATGATTTTCTTCTACAATACTGCATGGCCACAAAACACTGTAAAGTCAGGAGAAGCACAGATGCATCTGCCTCTTAGAAACTTAAAATTCTGGGGGCACCTGGGTGGCTCAGTCGGTTAAGCGACTGCCTTCGGCTCAGGTCATGATCCTGGAGTCCTGGGATCGAGTCCCGCATCGGGCTCCCTGCTCGGCGGGGAGCCTGCTTCTCCCTCTGACCCTCCCCCCTCTCATGTGCTCTCTGTCTCTCTCATTCTCTCGGTCTCAAATAAATAAATAAAATCTTAAAAAAAAAAAAAAAGAAACTTAAAATTCTTCACCATGTGACCAATTTAAATCCTTGACACGTTCTGTAGATGAGATTCTGAATGAATGCCAAGACAAAGGATATTAGTTCCTCTCAGTAGAGAGTGGCAGAGTCAACTTCAGCACCCGGCAGCCATCCCACACAAATAATTCAGTTGCTCCATCAGGGGAAGCATAGAAGAATCAGCCACTTAGCATGTTGAGCACTTTGAATTCAGCCAGGCTAACTCCAGGGAAAACCAAGACACAAAACGCAATCCACCATCTCCAGGGTGACACCTGAAGCAGCGAGATTAAACCCTAATTAGCACATTCTTTCACAGCTAAATTCCCTTACCTAGTGCTGGCATGTCAACCAACAGGGACAGAAAATAAACCATCACAACTGGAAAAATGGGATGGAAAACCCCCTTCATACAATCTGGTGGGACTCATGTTTAATACACATGGATTACATATCTGCAAGCATCTAAATAAGTAGAATATACAAAGGATTTTAATGCTCAAGTGGTCTAAATGAGGATCCCTCGGATACTTCATTTGTGTACCTATGCATCCCCTTCAAGGGAGCCATCTATTAAATAGAGAGGGATACATATTTTGATTGCTACTTAGCAGCTTTTATTAAGAGATTTACTTATTTTAGAGAAAGAGAGAACACAGGGTGGGGGAGAGGCAGAGGACAGGGGAGAGACTCTTAAGGAGACTCCACATGCAGCCTGACAGCCCGACACCAGGGCTCCATCTCATGACCCCGAGATCATACCTGAGCCAAAACCAAGAGTTAGATGCTTAACCAACTGCACCACCCAGGAACCTCTACGCAGAAGCTTTTAAAGGAGACACTGATAATGTACTATCTAAGCAGGAAACAAATACAGGACCTTCTGAAATAGGGCCAAAACCTGAGCTCAAAAATATCAACTCCTGTACAACTACTTTCTACTGCTACAGCACCTTTTTATAACTTAAATAGGATGCCAGGAAATGAGGCATTAAATTAAATCCCGTCAGAGAACAAGAATTCTTGTCCCCTCAAAGGTCCTTCTAGCTGGACTTAGAATCAAATTCATATGAGACAGATTAACAGGAGAAAAATCAAATTTAATAGGTATATGGACAGGAAATCCACACAGAAGTGAAGTTCCAGACTGTCAGGGAAGAGGAGGTACAAATGTCATCCTGAAATAAGGAAAGAAGGGGTGGCGGTCAGGAGCTTCACAGGAAAGGAAAACACTTCACAGGGCAATAAGAGCACATCTTTGGTATTTAGGTATTTGTCTTACCTTAAAGATGGTTCAGAGATAAACTTTTTCATGTTAATCTCTCATGTTCTGGAAAGAACCACCCCCCGCCCAATTTAGATTCTTCTGGGTTGTTAATGGCAGGGGAGGGGTAGAATGTCCTCTGCAACCTGCAGGTTCTCAAGTACCTTCAACTTCAATGATCCAAAGGGGCATTTTGCAGGGGGCGGTGGGTGGAGAGAGAGGCTTGTCCTGCTCCTTCAGTTCCCCCATCTAAAACTTCCTTGGGAGTTTCAAGTATTACATGTTGATCTGGTAGATTACTTCATGTCACTGATCTAGCATTTTACCCTGCCAATAGGGCAGTTTGGCCAAACTCGTTTCAGAAGGCAATGATACAGGTGTATTTTCAAAGGTAGCCCTGTAGCTTAAGTACTGTGATTAAATGAGGCATTTATATGAAAACAAATGAACTACGATTAATGATTAGATCAAATGTTAAGGCAGGTTCTGATTTCTGAGGGTAGCCAGCTGAGCAGACTTCTATATGTTAGATTTCAAGCATCTTAAGATAGAGTGAGGGCAGGCAGGGGAAACCTAACATTTTGTCCTGGTTTATAGTTTAAATACTACGTTGGTAGTGTTTCAGTGGTCCACAGAGCCACAGTACTAAGACTGTCTATACATGAGCTATTACGACAATTTCTTTACAAGTCATTCATATTAAGTTTGCAGAGCTTCAGGAAAAATGTCAATTTTAGTTCTCGGGGCGCCTGGGTGGCTCAGTCGTTAAGTGTCTGCCTTCGGCTCAGGTCATGATCCCAGGGTCCTGGGATCGAGCGCCACATCGGGCTCCCTGCTCGGCAGGAAGCCTGCTTCTCCCTCTCCCACTCCCCCTGCTTGTATTCCTGCTCTCGCTATGTCTCTCTCTGTCAAATAAATAAATAAAATCTTAAAAAAAAAAAAAAATTTTAGTTCTCAAATGATTCCAAGTAGGAAGGTGAGAGGAAACTCAAAATGTCTGGGGACTTGTAGCCATGCATTGGTCGACATTAGAAGAAATCAGGATGTAGTCCAGTTAATACTGAATACTATTAAAATCTAGGATCTACAAAATGTTACTGAAACAAATTTTTACCAAAGATAGTCAAATTAACACTAATTTGATTACAAAATAGTCTAAGAAAAAAACACTTGGCCTGACTATTTACATAACTGCAGGTAGAACGGAGGTTGAGCTACAGACACTTTAAAAACAGTTTTGCAGGAACTTTTCATTAGGAATCTCTAAATCGAACTTTTAATAGCATCTCCAGGTCAGAGTCCATGCCATTTTCGTGCACCAGACTTTATGGACAGTAACTACAGATTTCAGTGAACTCCTCTCTTCATGAAAGTCCCCTAAATATCCTGAGGTTCCTGCACCTGCTAGTAAGTAATCTTCCTTGCTCACATGGTAAGGCTGCTGGGAACTCCCTAAGCAAGGTATCAGGCTGGCATTTCCAAGGGGGCCTTATTTGATCCATAAAGTCAATCTTAGTTCCCTATAGCTGTCTTGTCGTATCTGAGTCTATGCAGCTCTTTCTCAGCTATGACATCCCAGTCAAAGCCATGGTTGTATAAACAGTGTTTGTGTCTTGTCATCATGAGAACAGATTCTTACTAAAATTATACGTATACATATATATACAGGCATTAAAAAATATAAAAATAGTTACTGAGACACTCTGAATTCTGGAGGAATCAGGGAGAAAAGACAAAACGTTCCAATTTGTTTACAAAGGTGTATTTTGTGTAACGTAAGTTAACATAAGGGATAAAATTTCTTAAATCTGTAAACACCAAAGTATTTTTTAAAAGGTTTTATTTAAATTATAGTGAGTTAACATGCACTGTCATATTTGTTTCAGGTGTACAATAGTGATTGAACAATTCCATACAACACCCAGTGCTCGATACAACAAATGCACATCTTCATTCCCATCACTTCTTTAACTCATCTCTCAAATCCATCTCCACTCTGGTAACCATCAGTTTCTTCTCTATAGTTAAGAGTCTATTTCTTGATTTGCCTGTCTGCTTTTGTTTCTCCTTTGCTTGTTTGTTTCTTATATTCCACGTATGCGTGAAAACACACGGTATTTGTCCTTCTCTGACTTCTTTACGTTAGCAATAATAACCTAGCTCCATCCATGTCATTGCAAACGGTAAGATTTCATTCCTTTTTAAGGCTAATATTCCATTCTATAGAGATACCCATCTTCTTTATTATCGGTCAATAAACACTTGCACCAGACTGTTTGAAGCAGAAATGCCCACTGTCACTGACTGTTAAACCACTCCTCCGAGAAATCCATGGCACAGAGCCAGGGCACAGGGCTACACTCATCATGGCACGTGGTAAAGGGAGGAAGGTCCCCCACAGCAGTGCATCAGCTTCCACGAAACGATACCCATCTACAGTGGATTCAAACTATGTTGGGGTTATATACCTGGGATTCTAGCGCTTTGGTGAAACCACAGCCCACACCTTGCTGAGCCCGCCTGTTCCACTGTCCAGAAGGCTTCTTCATCTCCAACATCTACTCTACCATGTGATATTTTGAAGCTATGCACTAAATGACTGCATCATCGAATACCCTTCCTCCATCCACAGCCACTCATCTAGACCTGGGCAAACAGAGTCATCACAACAGCATCTGGTCCTCACTAACACACAGGAATTCAGTTAAATCATGAAGATAAAATAGGACTTCCCTACTCCTCAGGAACCCACCACACTTGCCAATTCCTTTATTCCATTGCATTTATTCATCAGATGACACCACCAAGAGGTAACTGTGTCTTTTGAATGACTAAAGGGAGCCACGTTAGGTTCCCTACCCACACTGAAAAGAATTCTTCACATTTTCTTCCAACAGGTCTTACCTTTCTCTCTAAGGATGCTGCCATCATTGTGTTTTACTTATATTTACATCCCACATGCCAGGGCTAAATGTCTGAATTGACACCCATTGGCCTTACTTGTCTCTAATCTCAATTAAAAGGTCAGTGAGGACATTCTCACCACAACACAGGCAAAGAAGAACGTTTGAGATGCCTATGTAGGTGGAAATAAAACTGGGGATAAATAGAAATGGAGATCTGCAGATATCCAGGAAAATAAAAAAGTGTAAGTTATTTTTCTAAATCCAGGGAGTCAGTTGTGCAACCCAGGAAAGGTGTCCCCTCTCCACATGCAGAATTCACGCCAATTCTTCATCCTCTGTACTTTCTCTTAACTGGGGCTACAATGTCACTCCTACCGGAATATATTTCTCTAACTTATGGGGTATCTATTACACACAAACCATTGTTGTAAGTGTATGTTTACTAGATAGAAACATGAAAACAACACCCACATGTATGAAGTGGGGCACATAACTTTATTAGGGGCCATGGTAGAGTGCTTTAGGGTCCCGGGGAGAAGTCCAGATAGCCTTTCAAACTAAAATAGGTTTAAGTAAGCTCGGTGGGAGTCTTCTCTAAAGGACACATAAGGGGAAAGTCATGGGAGACAGGAGAAATGTTTGCTCACAAGGGTGGACTGGGAATGCCCTATCACGAGGTACATTAACTTCTGACTCTGCAGTTTGTTGTGTAGGAAATGCACTAGTAAGATTCTCTTGTGTCACTTAAAGTCCCCTGCAAAACTCCTGCCTACACAAAATGTATGCTAAGTAGCACTGTCATGGAGTACTTCACTTAGTTGATCAATAAGACCCACATACAATCTATAATACATCTGTTATACTTTCCCACTAGTCCCAAGGAGGAGAAAATGATACAAGAGATAAACTAACGGAAAAACAATCACACATTATCTAAACGTTAAAGCCAATGACAAAAACGGATTACTAGATAATATTTCCACTCTGTTGCCAAATAGGTGATAGATACCATCAGTTACCTACAAGCTTATATAAAATGAGATAGGTTAACATTGGTAGTCAGATAACACTTCATTCATTACATATCCGTGTTAACATGATAAAAACCATTGTGTTTTATTAATTAAAATATATTAAGTTCACACATAGACTAAGTTATGCATTTCAATCCCCTCTATAATCCTTGCTCAAAATACAGTATATAAGCATTAAAAAGCATTCAAGCACTGATATAATGATGTGGGAGTAATGGTTTCAACAGTTTTCAGGTGTGAGGTCCTTCTCAACAAATGTGGATGTATGCTATGTTGGGGAAGAGTCAGCTACCCTCTTTATGGTATCTGTGAGGATTTCTTCCTTTCAACCACATCCACTAATATTCTCTAACTATTGCTATCATGAGGATACATCAGAATTTTACTGGATTGCCACTTGTTTTTCCTCTAATACCAGTTGGTAAAATATTTTATTTGTAATATTCAGAAAGTTCTTTAGTTTTAATAAATGGAAAAGACTGATGTTCTGAACACCTTTTTCATGACAACCGTCATTAATGTTATAACCACAAACAGTATCTTCATTTAGATTTTCTTTATATATTGTATATTATATTGTCCTTCATCTTCCATGGATAATTAGATATCATGAGTCCCACCTAGTGAAGGAGAGAGCTCCTATCTTTGAGGAAGCAACAATCAGTCACACAATTTCACACGTACTAAAAATAAATGTATTTTCTGAAGTGACTTGAGAGTAGAGATACATTAATATTTGCTAGACACAAATATCAGATAGGGCCAATGTTAAAAAAAAGCACATATTGATATTAATTAGAACTATGCAAAAATCTATCCACTTAATCTTTTGAAGAACAGGACAGACATTTCTAACAGTTTAACTTTGTTATTATTCCTTATCATGAGTATTCTGATGTAATATCTGAATAGACTGACTGACGTAGTGCTTTGTACTTGATTTCTGTGACATTTATTGACATTTGATGTTCAGTTACATACATTTCTAAGTATTTACATCTTTCAAGTTACTGTCCTTTATGCACTCACGAGTGTTTACTAATGTGTGTATTTAAAATGAAGGTCTTTCCTCATTCATAAATTTGTAGGGTTTAACTCTAGTGTGAATTTTTGGATATTAAGGATTGAATTCCATTTAAAGGCACTGCAAATTTCTCTGTATTTTAGTTTCTATCCTGTGATGAGAACTATGATGTTCAGTAAGTTGGGAGTTCCAGCTAGAGGCTTGAGACATTCTTTTACCTTTGTAATGTTTCCCCTCAGTATGAACTCTGATGCTGAGTAAGAGTTGAGCAATCCTAAAAGTTTTACCACACTCTTTACATTTCTAAGGTTTTTTTCTCCAATACGAATTCTCTGATGGTCAATGAAGCTTGACTTCTGATTAAAGGGCTTGCCAAATTCATTATGTTTGCAAAATCTTCTCCAGTATACATCCTCTGATCAGAAGTTAGACTTTAGCACTGCTTAAAGGCCTTGGCACATTATTTTGGTTAGGACTCCTTCAAGTATGAATTCTGTGATGTCGAGTCAGGTGTGAGTGCTGGATAAAGGTATCACCACATTCTTTACATATGTAAGGTTTCTCTCCACTATGAATTCTGTGATGTCGAGTAAGGTGTGAATGCCGGTTAAAGGCCTGACCACATTCTTTGCATATATAAGGTTTCTCTCCAGTATGAATTCTGTGATGTTCGGTAAGCTTTGACTGCTGGTTAAAGGCCTTACCACATTCTTTACATTGGTAAGGTTTCTCTCCACTGTGAATTCTGTGATGTCGAGTAAGGTGTGAGTGCCGGTTAAAGGCCTGGCCACATTCTTTACATATGTAAGGTTTCTCTCCAGTATGAATTCTGAGATGTTCAGTAAGCTTTGAGTGCTGGTTAAAGGCCTGGCCACATTCTTTACATATATAAGGTTTCTCTCCACTATGAATTCTGTGATGTCGAGTAAGGTTTGAGTGCTGGTTAAAGGACTGGCCACATTCTTTACATATGTAAGGTTTTTCACCACTATGAATTCTGTGATGTTGAGTAAGGCTTGAGTGATGGTTAAAGGCCTGGCCACATTCTTTACATTGGTAAGGTTTCTCTCCAGTATGAATTCTGTGATGTTGAATAAGGTTTGAGTGCTGGTTAAAGGCCTTGCCACATTCTTCACACTGGTAAGGTTTCTCTCCAGTATGAATTCTCTGATGTCGAGTAAGCATTGAGTGCTGGTTAAAGGCCTTTCCACATTCTTCACATTGGTAAGGTTTCTCTCCAGGAAGAATTCTGTCATGTTGAATAAGGTGTGAGTGGTGGATAAAGACCTTGCTACATTCTTCACATTTGTAAGGTTTCTCTCCAGTAGGCATTGGCTGGTGTTGAGATGGTGTTGAGTGCCAGTCAAAGGCTTTACCACATTCTTCACAAATGTAAGTTTTCTGTCCAGTAGCAGCTGTGTTATGTATGTTTAGTCCTGATGATTGACTCAACATGTTCACAGGTTTATTACATCTGTATATGTTTTTTTCCATGTGAACTCTCTGATAATCACCAACACTGGAGGACTGGTTAACAGATTTCCCACACTCATTATATTTATAAGGATTCTCTCCCATAGGGATACTCTTATGTATAATCAGGTTGGAGCTTTGATAAAAGACTTCCACATATTTATCACACTCATAATGATTCTCTGGAAAATGAGTCCTCACACATTTATTAACATTTGAACCCTCGTTAAATTTGTTCTCAGAGTCACTGCATTGAGCAATTCTATTTTCATTGAAAATGCTCTGGTCATCTTGTAGGGCCGACTCCTCGGTGAAGGACCTCTCAAATGAATCCCACTTAGCACTTTGTTCTTCATTTTTAAATCTCTGATTTTCAGAAATGTTTGACTCAAAGGTCAATCCAATTCTACTTTCAAAATGGTTCAAATAATTATTTTCAGCATGGACTAGGCAACTTTCCAGATTTTCCAAATTCTCGTTCTCCAAATATGTATGTTTCACCATTTGATTTGAGCCCTTGCTTACAGAAAGACACTGCTTTGCAGAAGTAGCAGGCTTAAGAAGGGATATTTTCCCAAGTGTTTTACATTCTTCATCATTTTGGGCAGTGAGATTCATATTATGGACAGTTGTCTCAGTTTGGATATGTCCTCCATGATATCTTTGATGCTCTTCACTCTCCCCATCATTTTTCCAGTCTATCATTAAGTGTAAATTGTCAAGGGCACTATGTTTATATCTACCCACTGCCACGTTTTGGAAAGAAGCTTCTATGCACAGCTTTGGCAGGAAACTCTGGGTGCCATGTGAAGATACAGCTGAAAGATATTGAATAAGAGAAAAGTAAAATCATTCCACTTACTATTCTCAGATGAATATAATGAAAGCTTCTAATACGCAAAATTAAAATCAATCAGAGAACTTCAGCAATATGGCTGAGAAAGAATCATCAGGACTTCATTCCTCCAGGGAGACAAACGCGCAGACAACGTACAGATCACATAGCCTATCGCACAGTTCCATAGTCTTGTCATGCTGGAGCACACATCACGATCCTATACCTCAAAAAATCAGGAAAAGTGCCATCTGATGCCAAAACTAGCAGAAGGAAGGAAATTTAAACTTAAAATAGAAATCAACAAAACACGATAGCAAAAACAGGAAAACATCAATAGGAAGACTGCATTTTCAGAAAAGATCAACAAAATCAATATACTTTTAAATAAAGAATGGAAGCAAGAAGACTAGGTAAAATCAGAAGAAGTGGAAGCAGATGCAATACAACTGATACCAAAGAAATAAAAACAATTATAAGAGGTGATGATGGATAATTACATGTCCACAAACAGATATTAAAAAAAACTTGTATAAATCTCAACAAGTGTATAACCTACCTGACTCCATTATGGAGAAATAATTAAAAAGTACAAATATCAAATAATCTACCACTATTAAACACATTGAAAAAGCAAAACAAAACAAAACTCCCAACAAAGAAAGTCCTGTGCCAGATAAATTCACTGCAGAATTCAAACAAACATTTAAAGAGAAAGCACTTCAAATCTCCTCCAACATTTCCAAGGAGTGAAGAGAAAGGAAACTATCAAACAATCTCTGAGACACCAGCTTTACCAGGTTATCAAAGCCAAAGGAAGACACTACAAACAAAGAACACTACCAACTACTAACTATGAGGAATAGTTATACTAAGTCCACAATAAAATGAAGCAAACTGAATCAAAAGCACATTTTACTATTTTACAACATAATCAAGTGAGAATTCTTCCTGGAGTTCAGGGTCTTTTAACATATGGAAATCTATAAATTTAAGAGTGTGCATTAACAGAATGAAGGTCAAACATGACATGTTCATATTAATTGAAGCAGAACAAGAATGTGAGCATATCGGACACAGTTTCATGATTAAAAACACTCGAGAGTAGGAATAGAAGGAAACCACCTCAGCATAATACAGGCCATACGTACTGAAAGCTGAAATCTAACATATTCAATAGTAAAAGACTGAATGCTTCTCCTGTATGATCAGAAACAAGGTAAAGGAATGACTTCAGCACTTCCATTCAACATAGTACTGGATATTCTAGTCAGAACAATCAGGTAAGAAAAAGATACATAAAAAGAATCCAATTCAAAAAGAAAAAGAAAACTATCTCTGTTCAGATGACATGATCTATAGAAAACCATAAAGAATGCCTATTTTCATTTTTATGCTATTTTATTGTTTGGTCATCACTTGTATATTTCTGCTGATTTTCCCCACTAGACTTTCCATTTTCAATTTTTTTAATGCTATAAATGCTTGAGTTAAGAAAAAAGGTTCAGGGCGCCTGGGTGGCTCAGTTGGTTAAGCGACCGCCTTCGGCTCAGGTCATGATCCTGGAGTCCCGGGATCGAGTCCCGCATCAGGCTCCCTGCTCGGCGGGGAGTCTGCTTCTCCTTTTGACCCTCCTCCCTCTCATGCTCTCTCTCATTCTCTCTCTCTCAAATAAATAAATAAAATCTTTAAAAAAAAGAAAAAAAGTTCAAATAAACAACATAACGTTATACTACAAGGAACATAAAAAAGAAGAAACAAACATGAAATTTAGAGGAAGGAAATAAGGAAGAAAAATCAGACATAAAAAAAACAGAGATCAGAATAAAAAGTAACACTGAAAATCTCTATCAAAATTCCAATGTCATTTTCTTTGGCAAAAGATCAAAACCCCTCTTAACATTCATGTGGATGCCACAGTATAACACCCCCAAAATAATTTTCAAACTGAAGAGTACATTGGAGGCACCACACTCCCTGATTCAAAACATACTACAGGGGCACCTGGGTGGCTCAGTTGGTTGGGTGACTGCCTTCGGCTCAGGTCATGATCCTGGAGTCCCTGGATCGAGTCCCGCGTCGGGCTCCCTGCTCAGCGGGGAGCCTGCTTCTCCCTCTGACCTCCCCCCTCTCATGTACTCTCTCTCATTCTCGCTCTCTCAAATAAATAAATAAATCTTTAAAAATAAATAAATAAATAAAATAAAACATACTACAACGCCATAGTTATCACAATATACCACAGACATAAATACAGGGATAGCTAACCAAAAAGCAGAGGTGAGCCAGACCCGTCCTCATCCAATGTTAATGTGTAGGACAATGAAGTGAAGATCCTGTCAAAACTTATAATCTGATTTGGATTTCTAGGTGGGATCTGAGTTCCCACATTTCTCACGAGCTTGCAAGTGACGCCCATATCTTAGCTCAAGTGCCACACTTTTAAATTCCAAAAAGAAAAAGAAAAGAAATGGATGACTCTGAACGTAAAGAATATTGTGGAAATTACAACTTCTAATTTCAAGAACAAAACAATTCGTCTTTGAACATTTACTACCCACTACATCACATTCTAACATTTTTTCATAAATTCACCCATGAATCCACACTAACCTATGAGAACAGTAGAATTGTTCTTCACCTTTCAAAAAACATCTTGGCAAAACTTCAGTAATAGTATATCCTGAGTTTTATCCCAGATTGAAATTGAATTACTTTAAGACAAACACACAGACCACTATACAGAAGTAACCCTAAAAGAAGGTTCACAGCAGGTTTCAAAGGGACAATGGGAATGCAAACACAATTAAACCACAGAACATATCAACTAAAACAGGTAAGTGAGGATAAAACATAAAAAATTATAGATTCAATAAAAAAGAATAAAAATGATAGACTAGAGTTTTTCTTTATTGTCACTAAACTGAGAAATGCTTTCAGTGATAAAAACTTATGAATATATTTGTGGATGAAGGTTTTTGTGTCTTGCGAAAACACCACAAAGACAAACACACAAGTATATGACTAAAATAACGACTGTTTTTGAGTCTCTTATAGCATTCAATGTATTGGTCTCATGTGGCTTTTGTGCCGAGTTATATTTTACAATTTTAAGGCAGTGGAACATATATGATGCATGTTTTCTTTCTCCAGAGCAACAGAGAAGTGATAAGAAATGCTATGCTGGGGCTCCTGGGTGGCTCAGTTGGTTAAGCGACTGCCTTCATCTCAGGTCATGATCCTGGAGTCCCGGGATCGAGTCCCGTATCGGGCTCCCTGCTTGGCAGGGAGCCTGCTTCTCCCTCTGACCCTCCTCCCTCTCATGCTCTCTGTCTCTCATTCTCTCTCTCTCAAATAAATAAATAAAATCTTAAAAAAAAAAGAAAGAAAAAAGAAATGGTATGTCTGTGACATGAGTGTGAATAAAATGGAAATGTGTAGGGCCAAGCCGTTATTTATTTATAATCTCTACTTCAAACAATGGTATCTTAGGCCAACACAGGAGAGCCTTCATTTTCAAAGCCGACTACAAAGTGAAACAGAGAAGGGAGTTTCCTCATTAAGTAAGATGACTTATGCACATCTTTCAGTAAATCCTCCCAAAGTACATAAAAATAAATGAGAAAAATTATTAACCTTATAGTGGAGGGATCCAGCAGGGAACACCGAGGACATGAAGTGCATGAATCTCAAATGGGTCACACTGGTGATGGTGCCTAACAGTCTTCAAAGGACACATAATAACTACTGTGAAATAAATGTCCAGAAGCAAGTAAATCATAATTAAATGTAAACATGAGAACTTCCCTTTCATTCAAATATCAAGCCAAATATACTGCCCACACTCTGTAATCTGGAATAGTGTATGTAAACTATGTCTTTCGTGTGCGATCACAGGCTTTCACAGGCTCCTCTGCCTGTGATTTTAATCAGCTCAATCAGAGGCTTTTCCAGAGACCCAGATATGGGAGGTTAACCCATGTACAAGAATCATGGAACTCTCCTCCTGTAGGGACGCTGCCCTCGAGGGTTCCTGAAACACTGTGGGATTTCTCCACTGCAACACAGATGGACTGGGAGTTTAGATACAAGTCCTAGTCCTCATGTTGACCGATGTCCTGTCCAATTTCTGTCTCTCAAAAATAATGTTCTTCTACTGTTTCCTGAGAGCGTCCATAGCAAGGTCAAGTGGAAGAGGAACGGGCAAAGTTCATTTAACACCAGGGCTAAATCTTTTTTTTTTTTTTTTAAGATTTTATTTATCTATTCATGAGAGAGAGAGAGGCAGAGGCAGAGGCAGAGGCAGAGGGAGAAGCAGGTTCCCCGCAGAGCAGGGAGCCCGATGCGGGACCCGATCCCTGGAGCCTGGGATCATGACCTGAGCTGAAGGCAGACGCTCAACCGACTGAGCCACCCAGGCGTCCCACCAGGGCTAAATCTATGGCTCCCTTACGTCATTTACCTCTCAGGTTTAACCAGAGAATGATAAAAACGGATTCCTTTCTAGGTGGTGGAAAAACAAGAAAGAGGCACACCTCACAGGGGAACCAAGAGGCTGAATCAAGGCTGCACAGAATCCAGCTTCAGTTCGTCAAGGGCACTAAGTGTATTTTTAAAAACAAGACAAAATAAAAAACTACTTCTATAATTTGAAGTACACTGCATCTGGGCAGGCAAATTTTGAAAATGTCTGCTCCAGACAAAATTCCAGGCCTACATCACAAAAGATGAACCATGTAAAGGGTTCCTAAACACGGGGAAGAGGATAAAACAGGTGAGCCTGGAGTCCTTCCCTCCCTTCGCTTTTCATTCAAACTAACGTCACTCCTACAGGGCGAACTTCATCAGCCACTCTTTTCTGGACCTCTATCTATCCTTCTTCATGTCACCATGCCACATATATTCGTGGAAAGAGCTCCCACGTTGACAAGTCACACAGGTGCAATCTGCTAATGGTACAATGCTGATTTCTTAGCTTGGACCCCACAGATCACATAGATTTTAAAAATACCACGGTTTCCCTACACTCTCACTAATTCTCAGTGCTATAGGAGCTCTTCTGTTTTCATGTCAGGCTTCCTCCTAAAAACTGACTTTGCCTGAATTGAGCTCAGGAAATAAAATCAGTCGCAATTTCCAGTATCTTCAAAAGACTCCACTTATACAGAAAAGCCTTCATGAGATATTTGGCCATTATTCCATACACGTTAATGGTAAGAGATGAGAAAGCACGCTGCAGGGAAAACTATTTAAGAAACTCTCACAGAAATAAATGCATGTTCTTCCATGTATCTCCTAGGCTGCTCAGCCTGTGAGGACTCCAGGCTCTTCCATGTCCTTCTATTCACTTCTACACCCTGCTAGAACTCTCTCCTCTCTCCCATGTCTTCTTTCTCCAGCAATTTAGCCTTATCTCCATTGTGTTACAGATAAATATGCTTTCCTAAGTCTATATCCTATTATGAATACGTAGGTTCAGCTTCATTTGGAGGTTAGCCTTCTTTACATGCAAGTTCTAAAGAACGTAGCTGAACCTATACATGTATATGCATATTTCTGCTATTTTGTTTTCTATCAAAGCATAATTGACAGATTGTTAAGCTGGTTCAGATGTACAACACAGTGATTTGACAACTCTGTAGGTTCTTCTACGCTCACAAGTGAGCTACTGTCTGTCACCGTCCAACGCTATAAGAATACCATTAAACATACTCCTTGTGCTGTGTCTTTTATCACCATGACGTATTCATTCCATAACTGGAAGCCTGTACTTCCCATCTCCTTTACCCATTTTGCCCATTGTCCCTCTCCGTTTCATGCTGGCAACCAGCAGGTTGTTAAATGTATTTATGGGTCTTTCTGCTTTTTTGGTTGCTTCTTGCCACTTATGACAATGTAGATAGACCTAGAAGATATTATGCTATGTGAAATAAGTCAAAGAAAAACACCGTATGATTTCACTTATATGTACATTTTAAACAACAAAACAAATGAACAAACAAACCCAGAAATAGACCCATGAATATCTATTTTGTTTTGAATAAAGTCCATGGATAATCTTGAAAACTATAAAAATTCCAAGATTACACATATTTCATAATGTGACAAACTGGCTTGTAACAATTTTCCAGGGCTGGCAGAAGAGATCCGGATCCAAGTCCAAGGATCTTCTGGCTCATGACAGAGCAATCACCATACCATCTTCTTGCTCACATTAATTTCACTTACCAGCCCCCTAAGCACATGCACATATGAGACACAGGAAACCACAACATACTAAAGGAACAACTAGCATATCTGCCTGCATCTTTTGCCATTTGAAGGAGACCTCTCCATTTTCTTGTGCAGTAAACAAATCTGTCCTCTACCCACGAGCAAGATATCACTATATTCCAAAGCCTTTTTCTACACAAACATCAATGAAAAAACAATTAGAATAAGAACCTTCAATGCTTCTATCCATAACACCCAGAGAAACTGAAACCAATAGAAAATCATGTCCCAACAGCAGCCACCACTCAGTTTGATCCCGGCTTGGCTCCTGCCTAATTTTCCCATGTGTATACCACCTTGTGAAACACTCATTAATCTTACATAGGATCTGGGATAAAATGCACTCAATTTACACTGGGAAACATTTTTCAAGGCTATGATGAGCAGGATGCAATGCAGGAGAATCGGTTGAGCTATCACGTTCCCTTCTGCAATGTCCCTGTGGGCCTTGCATTCAACCAGGTTAAGAAACCACAATAACCATGAGGGTCTACCTTAAATTTCTGTAGTGATCTTTCTAAGGAAGATGGGAGAGAAAGAATGAAACTGTGCAAAAAACATACAATTTAAATTATCTGAAAAGATGAGAGTATTTTGTACTCCTTACCCAGGCAAAGCGGGTTCTGGATACAGTGGAATCATGGCTTATTACAATAAAAGGGATGAGAATTGGAAAGCAGAGGAATTAGGGCAGAGGATTAGAGCAAAGGTGTTCACCAACCATCAACAGAGAATATTAGAAAGACCAACATAGACCTAAAAGATGTAGAAGATTGTGCAAAATGAAACGGAAGTGGTCACAAGGACAAAAATAGTGTGGGTAGCCCTGGGCGCCTGGGTGGCTCAGTTGGTTAAGCGACTGCCTTCGGCTCAGGTCATGATCCTGGAGTCCCGGGATCAAGTCCCACATCAAGCTCCCTGCTCAGCAGGGAGTCTGCTTCTCCCTCTGACCTTCCTCCCTCTCATGCTCTCTGTCTCTCATTCTCTCTCTCGCAAATAAATAAAATCTTAAAAAAAAAAAAAAAAGTGTGGGTAGCCCTGAACTTATGTGAAGAACACTGATCCTATGAATGCACTTGACACATTGTTTGTGCATGTACTGGATGAAAATCATGGAACCACTAGTCTGGATCATGAGCTCACAACATGACTTCAAGGAATAATAACAATACTGTATACAACAAATGTAGGATTGGGTTCTAAAATGCCAAACAGTATCCAAAATACATTTTCCTCCATATTTTACTGCTCATTTGGCAGAGACATACAGCAGAAAATTAAAAACTCCTGTACTTGGAAGTTTTTACGTTAAGCTCCTCCCAACAAGCATCCATAGGGCTAATATTAATGATCTGGAAGACACCCAAGACCCACACTCTACCACACTGGACACACCCTTGACCACGTTGTAAACATACAAAAGTATCCACCCAAAACCATGGCAGAAATCTTTTCACCCAAAAGCTGTCATGGCTGGTGGGACTCCCTTAGAGACAATGACCCATGAGTCGTATATACTCATGTTTGGCAATAAAATCTGTAGAACTTAACCTACACCTCGTGAACTAAAGAGAGATATAATGGTAAAAAAGCTATCAGTTTGCCAGGATTTTTGCTACAGTGTATTAACAAGAAGATGACTGCTCATTTGCCAAGCCCCTGGAAGCCATTTTGCTATGGGAATATAGGAATAATTCATCTGAGCAAAGAAGCCCATGGAAGGTTTTTGACATCAAAACTGACACTGAGTGTGTGGTCCTATGAGATTGTAAACATCACTAGAGGCAGGAAAAGATGGAGAGAAATCATAGGAGAAGTCTACTCCAAGATCGAGGAGATGTTTATTGATGTGAAGAAATGACTTTGGTAAACAAATTAAAAGCACAATGCAACATTTTCAAAATATATTTCAATTTGTTATCAAATTTGATGGAAAAAAAGAAAATGAATAGAAAACCTCAGTCACTACACAAACCACACAACACATTCATTTTTAATAGATTTCTGATCAAAACTGTAAAGATAATGATGTTTTTAGAGAAGCACAAAAGGGGGAGCCTGGGTGGCTCAGTTGGTTAAGCAACTGCCTTTGGCTCAGGTCATGATCCTGGAGTCCCAGGATCGAGTCTCGAGGCGAGTCCCACAGCCAGTCCCTCAGCAGGGAGTCTGCTTCTCCCTCTGACCCTCCCCCCTTCTCATGTGCTCTCTCTCTCATTCTCTCTCCTCAAATAAATAAGTAAAATCATTTAAAAAAAAAAAAAAAAGCACAAAAGGATTCTATCTCTGTGTTCTTGGTATAAGGGAAGATTTCCAAAAATGATAAAAATCACTAACCATGAAGGGTGAACTGACAAATTGGATTACATTAAAATTAAGAACTTCGCGGGCGCCTGGGTGGCTCAGTCGTTAGGCGTCTGCCTTCGGCTCAGGTCATGATCCCAGGATCCTGGGATCGAGTCCCACATCGGGCTCCC